CGTAAGTACAGCTACGTATCATTTTTAATCCCCCCTTTTTGTGGTTCCAGGGGTCAAATTCAGTAACTCAGAGGCTCACATGGGCTAGGCAAGTGTTTTGCAACTAAGCAACAGCCTAGTCCTTAATTCCTTTTTTTCTTTAATTAAATATAGTATACAGGCTTGATCATTATGAGATTGACTGTCACACCAAGAGTAACTAGGAAACTGATTAATATGTCCTTTGCCACTGCCTCAATTTGGAATATTCACACTTTATTTTAGTGAGACAAAGTTCATCATAAGTCTGACACTACAACTATCAGCCTTTTGCAAGAAACTATACTTAATTTCCACGTCAGGTTTAATCTGAATATCCAGAATTATCTACACAGGTCACTGCTTGCTACCAATTCACCAACGTATAATTTTAAGTGAGCAAAGCAGCGGGGCGTGGTGGCGCACACCTGCAATCCCAGCACTCCGGAGGCTGAGGCAAGAGGATTGTTGCGAGTTCGAGACCAGCTTGGGCTACAAAGTGAGCTCAAGGCCAGCCTGAACTGCACAGTGAGACCCTGTCTCAAAAAGAGAAAAAAAAAAAAGAATTAAGTGAGCAAAGCATATGGTAGGAAGTAACACAAGAGGAGCATTAAGTAAGAAGCATTAGCTACAGCTCACACTCAGGAGACCCACACACAACTCCAGAAACAACACTCCTTTTACACATGTGGTTTGTTGTAAATAACAACTGTTTTTTCATTACTTGGATGTGACCATTTTTAAAATTTATTAAAAATTAGTACTATGCTTATATATTCTCTGTGCTCCAAAGACACTAAAGACTAAGACACAGTGGAATAATGGTGAAGAGCCTGGCTCTGAATTGAAACTTTCTAGATTCTAATCCTATTACAGTATTTCTCTTGTCTGTTTAGTTTTATTTTGTTTTTTTTAAGACAGGGTCTCACTAGGTAGCTCACACTGACCTTGAACTCACTATTTATGCCAAGCTGGCCCCAAATGCACAGCAATCCTCTTGTCTCAGCCTCCCAAACTGAGATGACAGGTGCACGACCACACCTGGCCTGAAGAGCGGGCTCTTGAATGGAGCCCTGAGTAAGTGTAGAGTTTCAACAGCCGGAGCTGAAAAGCAGGGACGTTAAGGCAGAGGGAGCTGTATGAGCAAAGCTGTAACCTCAAGACAACGCATGGAATTTGTAAAGCACTTCCACAAAGCCCATCAGTAATAAAAAACCAAGTGCAAGTGGATTCTGAAACTTTAATTAGAGACGAGCCTGAAGAGCAATTGGACACAGGCGACAGAGAGTTCTGAGCAGTACATTGAGGGGTCTGGAGCCTGGATTTCATTCTGAAGGATCAAGGAGCTATTTATCACAAGTTTAACCTATACGGGGAGATTTATATTATCCTATTTTTGCATATATCGTTCAAATGTTCCATAGAACTGTTAGGTGCCTGAGCACAAGATGATACTGCAATCACAGAAACACTCAGGTTTACTGTTCACCTGGGGTGTGTGTGTGTGTGTGTGTGTGTGTGTGTGTGTGGACACAGGGACAGATGCTCCTAAACTTACACTTATGACAGGGCTACACACAGAATCCCATCTTGAGTTGTAAATGGTAAGCCAAACCATCCTAAGTTGAGACCATCTTACATGCATATACATGTATGTAACCTGATATTTAAATACATTATATATATTACTAGAAAAACAGTAGTCTATATCATTTTTATAGCACATGTAAAACCTTAAAATTTTATATTCTTGATTTTCTTTCTTAGATTATTAATAATATTAACATGGAATTTTATAAAGACAAACATGATACACACTACAGATAAAGAAGGTAACACATGCTAAGCCTGAGAAGGAAATCTTCCTAGTATAAGCAACATTTTGTCAATTCATATAAAATAATCATCTCAAGACAGACAATAGGCTTAGTAATATATGTATCACTACCACACATACATTTTAAAAACTAGAAGTAGCTACACTTAATTTTAAGATGATCAAATACAATTTTTTTCTTTTTATGAGAAACAGTCTCATGTTGCTCAGGCTTGACCCCACACCCCTAGATTCAGGTGATCTTCTGGCCTCAGCCTCTTGAGTTAACTGGGATTACAGGCACGGCAGGGTTAAATACAAGCCTTGATCAAAACACCCTATCTCAATACGTTGCACAATGCCATAAATTTAGCTTTCTATTTTTCCACTTAAAGATGCCTGTAATTATTGAGTGTGGTGCACGCCTATAATCTCAGCTACTGGAAAGGCTGAGGTGGGAGGATCACAAGCTTAAGACCAGCCTGGGCAACCTATCGAGACTCTGTCTCAAATGTAAAAAAGTAAAACAAAAAGGGCTAGGAATAGAGAGCTCAGTGGCAGAGTGCCACTGGGTTCAATCCCCATGTGGGACAAATCACCAATCTCAATACGTACGTGAATGTAATAGTTATGTACTGCAGACATGCACTAAATGTAGTGAAACTAACATGCTAGACCTATAAGTTGGCTGTAAATTAGCCATACAGTTACAACATGCGTTTTTTATTGTTTGCTGTTCTGTCTTTCTGCCACATTTGGGGGGCAGTGTTGGGGTGGCAGAGCACTCAGCTATGTCCTCACCCCATCTTTTCACTCTGAGACAGGGTCTCACCAAGTCGCCCACGCTGGCCTTGAATGTGTAACCCTGTCCCAGCCTTCCAGCAGCAGGACTGCAGGGATCTGCCATCACACCCAGCTTCACACACAATGTTTTACATAGCAAGCAAAAATTAAACGTAGCAAGGCTCTGGCTATAAGTAATGAAGTATTTAGATAGAACTGCTTTTCTAGCTGACTAAAGTATAAATTGCATTTTTCATTTCTAGAATGTGTTACGTGGTTTTGGGTTTTTTTTCTTTTTTTTGAGGATGTTGTCTATGTATACAGTAAAGGGTATCTTCTTTTTATTTTAAATTCATTTTACATGATGGAACATAACAAAGCTCGCGATGTTTAAGAAACCTGTCAGGACCACAGCCCAGCCTCATTTAGCCCTAGGCCTGCGAGCTGCGACGCCCATCCCCCGAGGTCGCCTGCAGCCTCCACGGCCCAGAAGCACCTCTGGAGCCTCACAGGACAGCCTCTCCGCGGGCCGCTGGGAGGTTCAGAGCGCCCGTGCCCCGCCGACGTGGCAGTTCCAGAAGGCTGTGTCATGCTCGCTGGCAATTCTTTTGTCTCCTGTCTGGCTGTCCGTTTCCAATCCTCAGTAGATATGCTTTCAGGAAACTGTATCACCCCATTCACAACTCAAAACACAAACACGCTTCTGCATAACTTACTGTCTACCATAACAAAAAGGAACTAAAAGTTGCCAAAAATATAGAGAGGTCTTATCAAGTTGGTGACTATTTTATAAAACAATTATTTTATAGCAGTATTAGAGACTGTGACATAGAAAATGAAACTACATAAAAAGAATGGAAATTTCTTTTTATTTTTCCCATACTGGAGACTAAACCCAGGGCCTCTGCACTGGGCTACATCCCAGTCCAAAGAGAGAGAAACCTTGAGAGAAAGAGAGACAGACAGACAGAGACAGAGAGACAGAGACACAGGCACAGACAAAAAAATGTATGCATCAGGGGAAAAAACCGGCATAAATATTTTAGTACTAAATTTACTGCAACATCATGAGACTCAGACAAGTTACGTTTGGCATCTGAAATTACAAGAGGTGCTCAAAGTGGCGGCCATCGCTTCCAGACATTTAGTACGGCAAAGCGCTGAGGTGTGTGCACACTTCTTTTGGGGCAGCCACGTAACGCACTATTAGAGCCAGCCTGGCAAGACATGAGAGCTGCCGGCAAATGATGGACGCGGTCAGAAGCGAACGCATCCGAAGACTCGCATGAAGGTGGCGCCCTCCATCTGCCTCCTGCCCAGCCCAGCTCTGCAGTCACAGAGCTTACTGCTGGTTCTACGCAGCCACTTCTGCATTACAGTTCGACTGTTCTTGTATTAAAGACATCTCTATTCATTTATATAAATGTTTTCATTCAGTGAATACGAATTAAGCGCATGTTACTGACAGAAGAATCTGGGCAAGGGAAGGGAGTACAGCAACGAAGAAAATCTAGCCAGGAAAGGCTTACAAGTTATCAAACAGAACTAAGCTTTGTGCTATATCAATTATGTCCTATAGCAGTATTTCTTTCTGCCTTTTTGAGACAGGGTCTCATTATGCAGTTCAGGCTGGCCCTGAACTCACTTTGTAGCCCAGGCTGGACTCAAATTCATGGCAATTCTCCTGCCTCAGCCTCCTGAGTGCTGCCATTATAGGAGTGTGCTACCATGCCCAGCCCCTATAGTAATATTTTAAAGCACTAACATAAAACATTTTTTGATGTTAAGAGTCATTTATTCACTCAAATATTTATCAGATACCATGTATGTTCCAGGCCTTATGCTACAGGGATACAGAAACATCTGCTCGTGAAGCACACATTCTAGTAACAACAAGTAGACATACACACAAATATTGAATATTGTACCAGAAGAAAAATAAAGCAGGATATGGGAATAGAATGTTACACAGAAACACCATTTTTCTAAACAGAAATAAGTGATGTCCCTAAGGTAAGGTTGTATTTTGGCAAAACCCTCAAGTGAGGGACTTAGCCGTGCAGCCCATCTGGATGGGCAACATTCCAGGAAAGGCAAGACCAAGTACACAGGCCCTGGGGCAAAAGGCTGGCATATTCGCAGAAGACTAAGGCAACAAACTGAACCACAGCGAGTGAGAGACAGACAGACAGGGAGGGAGGGAGAGGGAGAGAGAGAGAATGGTAAACTTTGAAGAGGCAGCCAAAGACCAGATTACACAAGGCCTTCCTATCAGACAACAGAAAAAGCTTGGAATTTTATTGTAATTTAATATAGGAAACTAAACAGGTGGAAGGTTCTGAGGAGAGTAACACGATCTGATTAAAGTTAAAATAAAAATTACCTGGCTCCCATTCAGATCAGATGGTAGGGGAGCAGCGTGTAAGCGGAGAAGCCAAGCAGGAACCTACTGCAATAAGAAGGCAGGAGATAATGGTGGTGCGTAATAGCACGGAAACAGTAGACGACGGTGGCTGGAGCGATGGAACTCTGAGTATGCTTCAAAGGTACAAGACACACAGCACTTGCAGGTGAGTGGGTAATACAGGCTAAGAAGGAGCATGTCATCGAGAAAGGAGGGGAGGCTTTGGGGAGAAGCATGTATGTTCAGTTTTGCACTTGTTAAGTTTAAGACACCTAGAAGACATACAAGTTGCCTCAGTAATTCTAGTAGTTCTCATGCACAGAAATGAAAATGTATTTTCCTTTCCTACTGAAACCACTGACTTGTTTACATTAAACATGTTGAATATCAGGGTCTTTTAAATACGAATTTTAAAACTGTATTTTAAAGTAATATAATAACAGTACTAACAGATACTTCTCTCTCTCCTTTTTTGGAGATAGGGTCTTGCTATATAGTTCAGGCTGGCCTGAACTCACTATGTAGCCCAAGCTGGCCCTGAACTTGCAGTGATCATCCTGCCTCAGTCTCCTGAGCGCTGGGATTACATGTGTGCACCACCACACCCAGAACCAACAGGTAATTTTAACACAACAGACATTGTTTCAACCTGTAATTTATAGTTGAGTTTGAGAAACAGAAAAACACGAAGTATTAAAATACGTGCACTAAGTCCTTTATGGGAGAAGTCTAAAGTGGATGATGAAATTTAGGAAGAGCTAAAAATACTTGGCTACATGTCAGAGTGCGCTATAAATGAGGAAGCATATCCAATAAAGCCAGAAATATTTGACTCACAAATGAATATAACAGATGGATATGGTAAATGTATTATTAAGTAAGAAGTGTGGTAGTGCATGACTATAATCCCAGAACTCTAGAAGGCTGAGGCAGGAGGAATGAAAGTCTGAGCCAAGCCTGGATAATTTACTAATTTAGCAAGACCCTGTCACAAAAGAGCTGGGAATGTAGTTCAGTGTGACTCCAAGCGTGCGCGCGCACGCGCGCGCGCGCACACACACACACACACACACACACACACACGGCCCAAGTTATTGGCAAGTTTTAACATCTCTCCTCCTTTTTTTTTTTTCCACCGGTACTGAGAATCGAACTCACGACCTTGCATTTGCCAGGCAGGCGCTGTGCCACTGAGCTAAATCCCCAGCCCCAAGTTTTAACATCTCATTAACAAAATTGTGGCAATAAATGTAAGTTCAATTTAAAGAAACATCCATGAAACAAAGCCAAATGCTGAAATAAATTTCTTATTAAAAGTATTTCTACAATTTAAAGAAATAAAAAGTAAACAGACACTACAACAGGCCAAAAAGAATCAGGGCTGGTCCCCAAGTAGAAACTTAACAACATTTGACAAGCATTTAAAAAATGAAAAGAACATTCCATATAATAGAAACCACCTAAGCAAAAGACTTACAATTAAGAATTACTAAAAGAGCTCAGAGAAAAAAGTCATTCAATCAAAAAATATTAACTATACATCTATGTTATGAAATAACTCTGAAATCAAAGGTAAAGACAATGTAGTCTCTATCCTTAAAAAGTGTAAAGAGCTAGGCATGGTGGTGCACACCTACAATTCCACCACTGGGGAGGCTGGAGCCCAATCACCATGAGTTCAGCCTGGGCTACAAAGTAAGTTCAAGATCAGCCTGAACTACATAGTGAAACTCAGTGTCAAAAAGAAAGAAGTGGGGGGAGGAAGAAGAGAGGGAGGGAGGGAAGTAGAGGGGAGAGAGAAAGGAGGGAGGGAGACAGAGAAGAAAAAGAACGGGAGAGAGAGAGAAGAGTCCATGGAAATCTACTTAGAAGGCTAAGGCAAGAGAGCTACAAGTTCAAGGCCAACCTGAGCAACTGAACAGAACTCAAAGTAAGAGTGGGGATGCATTTCATGGCAGAATGCTTACCTAGTATACATGAGGCCTTGGGTTTGATTGCCAATCTCAAAACAGAAAGTCTACAGAATGTTTGAAGAACAGATTATCAAAAGCAGTCTGGTGAGTTAAGACTAGGTTAAATTCAGACAGCTTTAGAAACACCTAGGATAGAAAGACAATTCTGAGGACTTCTGGGATAATGGTGGAGTACTGAACAACAGAGAAAGAGCCTCTCCAAGATTTGGTGTCCAGATGCTAGAATATAGCAATATGAGGAAGAGAAGAACAAGGGAATTGGGTCCCTGGGATCCAAAATGGATCTAAAGCAAGAACTGAAGCCCATAGGGAGAATGAAGAGAATGACCTCAATGCAAAAAGAGTTGGCAAGGGCTGAGGATACAGCTCAGTGGCATAAGCACCTGCTGGGCAAGCACAAGGTCCTGAGTTCGATTCCCAGTACCAAAAAAGAAAGAGTTGGCAAGCAGCACTTTCCCCCTGATCCCTGACTCACTGAGTGGCACGGGTGGCTTGAACGTGCAGACGCATGGTGACTACTGGAGACTCCAGAGGTGTCCGGGGAGAGAGATGTAGTGGGCTGCAGTGGACCGCCCAACAGGCAGCAACTTCTCATTCATCATTAATTGAAGAGGTAGGATTTTGCAAAAGACTCAAAACCCAAAGCCAGCTACAACAGGAAAACATCTCTGAGAAGTCGTCATTTCCTAAAAGTTCTAAACACTAGCAATAAAACTACCTCCCATAAGCAATTTACAAGCATCAACCCAGGAATTAAACTAAAAAAAAAAAGAAAAAAGAAAAATGCAAAGACCGAAAAGCAAGATGCATCCTTAAATTTCCAGCTTACCAAAGGCAAAGCCAGAGGGCAGTGAGGTGGAATGAAATGAGAGCCACCCACCTGGACTCTCTGAAGCAGCAAAGCAGAAGTAACAAAGCAGATGAATGAGACTAGAAAAAAATCAAGTAAGAATTTCTCGGATAACTACAGAGATGGTGATCATAGTGAAAGACATGTTTAGTGACTCTACAGCAGATACAGATTTAAAAAACAGAGGCACTTAGGAAAATGATGGAAACCATTAACACCCAACCTAAGAAAAAAATGGAACCCATGGAACAGATTCAAATAGTTACCCAGGAGATTAAAAATTCCTTTGAAAGTATGTGCAACAGAATGAGCCAATGTCAGAACAGAATCCTAGACACAGAAGACAGGCCTGCAGTTAGTGATCATGAAAAGAAAGATTTCTTAAAAATAGCAAGAGACCAAGAAAAATCAATCGAACAGCTGCTAGATGATGCAAAGAATAGTATCAGACTGATCTGCATCAATGAAAAAGCAGGAGATAGCACAAACAACATAAAAAATCTGTTCACAGAAGTAATGGCAGAAAATTTCCATGGAGGTAAAAAGAATCTGAAATACAGTTAAGTGAGATATATAGAATTTCAATTAGAGATGATAAAATAAATTTGCAACAGGTATATTAATAGGGCAAGAGAGACTCCACTTTCTTTTTTTAACTCCATATTAAAGAAGTCACGTAAGTTCACTCAAGCTGCAGTTGACG